GCTGGGAGTGGTCTTTGAGTGCCAGCAGTTTCCTGCTCTGCCTCCCACTTAGACGGCTGCATGATGGGCGACGCCGTCGAATTGACCTCGCTTTCTGGCCTAGCGCGGGACGTGCTAGAGGTGCGCCCGGAGTGGACACTGGACCTGGATACTGCAAGCTCATCAATGCCCAAACCTGCTCGTTCGAGCATGTGCGTGTCGTGGCGTGAAAAGCTGGATCTCTGCTGAGACCTCGTCCGATTCAGACTTTCGATGGAGGGACGGAGCATGAAAGAGACCGCGGCTGCTCGAGCATCCGGGGAGTCGCTCGTAGACACAGCCCACTCTTCGCGAGTGTAGGGGCTGCTGTTGGCTGGTGAGAAGTCGGGCTTGGGCGAGAGTTTTGGAGTGCAAATCGGGGCGCTGCTTAGTCTTGCTTCCTCCTGCGCTCTTGCTTGCTGCTCCAGCACCTTGCTGATGCTTGGGGCGACGTTGGTGCTCTCACGCGTTTGAGGAGGTGGGCAGGTGGAAGGTGCTCGGCCTCGCTTGAGACGCGCGACCAAGGAACTGCCAAAGGATTGCTTTTCATTGGCTGGACTCGTTGGTAGGAACCCTTCGTTTCCAAGCTGAGCCAAGAGCGGACTAGCAGGGGGCGAGATGGAGCTGCTAAAGCTAGAACGAGAAGCACTTGCCTCGCCAGAGTGGTGAACTTGCAGAGCATTGACGTCGACTGAGCTCGACGAAGCAGCGGATGCTTCCGTGGGCTCGTCGGGGAAGAATGCCCGATGATACGGCGTCATGAAGGGGACCATGTTCGGCAGAGCACTGGGTCGCGGGGCGCTTATACTGGTTCTACTGCGTGTGTCCAAGCTCGATCGAGCATCGTCGCTGTTGGAGATGATGATCGCTGATGGCCCCTTTGCAGATAAAGTGACAGGCTCCGGGTCTTCGCAAATCAGCGGCAAAGGCTTGCGGGGGTCAGCTGCATGTACAGGCACACGTCGAGGACCTCCAGACGGTGCGATCTTGGAAATGGCAACGCTCTTGGTCGCTTGTGTTACGACTGCACCGGTCAGGTCGTTCTCCTCATCAAAATCCGAGCTTGCAGAGTGGGTCGAGCTCGGGGGAGTGCTGTAGAACGTATTTGCATGCGCGGTGGTGCTTCCGCTGATGTCTTCGCTCGGTCTGGTCTCGACGCTGGAAAGCGTAGCAGAGTTGTCAGATTCGGATCGCGCGATCGTCGCTACACCACGCATGGTGGGTACCACTGTCACGCTCGCATCGACAAAACTTCCCTCGCTGCCGCTCGCATTTGAGCCTTGCCAGACAGATGATCGAGCTTCTGAAAAGATGGCAGCGCCTAGGGAGAGGCTTGACTTGCTGCTGCTGCTCTTGCCAAGGCCGAGACTCAAGGGTCGGAAGGCTCCAGGCACGTGCGCCATGCTAGAGCTACCATTCGAGGTCAAGGATGGCAGCTTTGTCATGGGCAGGCCGGTAGTAGAAACATTATGCCCTGCAGCAGATCGAGCATAATTGCCTTGGTGCGTACCACGGACGCCAAATTGGGATGTGGAGAGCGAAGGGAGAGGCGGAAGAGCTTCCGGGGTGGAATCGTGACGGAAAGTTCTGTTAGATTCGCCCGCGGACATGTAGACACTGCTTCCCGTAGACGTGGTTCCACCGCGAGACGTGCGCGAGTCGATCGAGGGCCTAAATGGTGCTTCTGCCATCGGTGCCAGACTCTTGTCTGAACGGCTTGGCATCGGTGGGAGAGCGTCTCCAGATGGCGCGAGGCTGGTAATTGACATGACAGGCGGCTTGCTTGAATCAAAGTGCCCGGTGATCTGTTGGAAAATGACGGATGTGCGGCTGGGAGACAGGGCGCTGGACGCTGCGACAGATGTGCGGGACAGCTGTCTCGCAGCTTCCATGTCGGGAGACGAGCGGGTGTTGCGACCAGAAAATGCATTCTGCAGCGTGGTCGCAAGCCACATTGACCGTTCGATCTCAAAGTCCAGCTCATCTTCGAGGTCCAGCTTGATACCATCCTTTGCGATGCCGCCTTCCGGGCTCTCGCGCTTCTCGAGATCCGCCGCAAGGGCCAAGACTGGAGTGTAGCTGCCCTCGTCGGCTCGATTCTGCTCCCCGAATGGTTGCGCGCCAGGTTCACGGTCAGATTTGGCGTCGGAAGAGATGTCCAGTACAGGGCGAGGTAGCGTGGGCAGGTCGCCTAGCGAACGTATGAGCGTGCTAGGAATGGCGACCCTGTTGACTCGTGCTGTCCGCATATGTGCGGGCACCTCTCCCATCTGATTCTTGACAATGGCGATAGGCAGCTCGGGCAGAGCGGGCGGAGGGCTCTCCGTGTCTCTGCGACGCGGTGCGCTGTGTGAGCGTCGGCGTGT